TCTCTCTCTCTCTCTCTCTCTCTCTCTCTCTCCTCTCTCTCTCTCTCTCTCTCTCTCTCTCTCTCTCTCTTTCTTCTTTCTGTCTCCCTCTCTTTTCTTCCTAACTCACACCCCAGCCTCTTCTCTCTCTCTCTCTCTCTCTCTCTATCTATCTATCTATTTATCTATCTATCTGTCCATCTATCTTTCTATCGATCTATCCATCCATTATACCTATATTTTATTTATTTCCTTCTCTCACCTCCCCCCTCCCACTCTCTCTCTCTCTCTCTCTCTCTCTCTCTCTCTCTCTATCTATCTATCTATCTATCTATCTATCTATCTATCTATCTATCTATCTATCTATCTATCTCAATCTATCTCTCAATCTATCTATCTATCTATCTATCTATCTATCTCTCAATCTACCTATCTATCTATCCATCTCCCTATCTATCTATTTATCTATCTATCCGACAGTCTATCTATCTATCTCGCTCTCCTCTCTCTTTCTCTTTCTCTTCTTTTTCTTTCTTTCTTTTTTTTCTCTTTTCTCTTTTTTCTTTCTTTTCTCTTTTTTTCTCTTTCTCATTTTTTTCCTTCTTTCTTTTTTTTTCTTTCTTTCTTTTTAACATGTTTTTTTCTTTTTCTCTCTTTCTCTTTTTTCTTTCTCTCTTTTTTTTTCTTTCTTTTTTTAACATGTTTTCTTTCTCTGTTGTTTCGAAGCAGTTCCTCTTAACTCTTCAAGTTTGCTCTGTGTCTTCCATTACTGCCAGTGTTTCCGAAAGCACGCAAACGCCACATAAAAAAAGAGAAGAGGAGGAAAAAAAGAGAAAAGGAGGAAGAAATTAAAAAAACAGAAGAAGGGAATGGAGAAGGAAGGGAGAATGAGAATGGGATGGGGGTGAGAGTGAGTTGGGAGAGGGAGAGGGATTGGGGGAAGGAGAAGAAGAGAAAGGAGAGAAGTGTGTGTGTGTGTGTGTGTGTGTGTGTGTGTGTGTGTGTGTGTGTGTGTGTGTGTGTGTGTGTGTGTGAAAGAGAGAGAGAGAGAGAGAGAGAGAGAGAGAGAGAGAGAGAGAGAGAGAGAGAGAGAGAGAGAGAGAGAAGAGAGAGAGAGAGAGAGAGAGAGAGAGATAAAATAGATAGATAGATAGAGAGGTACATAGATAGATAGATAGAGAGAGAGAGAGAGAGAGAGAGAGAAGGAAAGAGAGATAAACGAAAAATCCAAAACCCTAATCCCGCCAGTGTGAAAGCCTCCACACCTTTTTAGTGTGATTAAACCACGCCCCGAATGAAAAGAAAACGAGATTAAGCTTGGATTAACCAAAAGAAAACGGGGATGAGTATGACCTTTCCAACGTGGGGGAGCCTAATTTAAATTACTTTACCTCGATCTTCCGTGTTCAGACACTACTTTAAAGAAAAGGAGGTTAGTAACCTGTGGTCTAAATAGTTATTAGAATATATTTCCGGCAAGTAATAGCCTCCCCGAAGATATGAGTTTAAAGTTAATAGCCTCTCCGAGAGAAAATAGATTCAATAGCTGTATTAAAAGTGTGCGAAGATGATTGGTGCCTGGGAGGTGGTGGTAGGGGGGGGGGCTATTTTGGACCGTATGTCGGAGAGATTTTTCCCAAGAAATTATCTAGAGTAACTTCAGTTGTTAAGGGAAAGAGAATGATAAAAATGTCTGTGTGTGAGTGTGACACACACACACACACATATGCGGTATACATATATGTAGTATATGTGTGTGTGTGTGTATGTGTGTTGTGTGTGTGTGTGTGTTGTGTGTGTGTGTGTGTGTGTGTGTGTGTGTGTGTGTGTGTGTGTGTGTGTGTGTGTGTGTGTGTGTGTGTGTGTGTGTGTGTGTGTGTGTGTGTGTCAACAGGAACAACGAAGGGAAGAACAAGAAAAGACACGAATATGCCGAAGGCCTTTTCGCTAATGCTTCATCAGGGCATAATAATAATAATAATAATAATAATAATAATAATAATAATAATAATAATAATAATAACAATAATAATAATAATAAATAATAATAATAATAATAATATATAATAATATAATATATAATAATAAATAATAATAATAATATAATAATAATAATAATAATAATAATAATAATAATAATAATAACAATAACAATAACAACAAAAATGACAATAATACTGAACATATCCCCATTTCGAAATAATATCTATCCCTGCCATCATTTTTTTTTCCTTTTTATCACCATATCTGACGCTATAGAATCCCCGGAATAGCTATATGATAATTTTTCACCTGAATTCGAATGCGTATTGCCCTCATTTTTTATCAAACGTAGCATCACCATATCATAAATTCCATCTTTTTTTTTTTAAAGTTGCTTGCCCGAAATTTGCAACAACAAACAGCAGCAATAAATGGCCTCTTTGTTGCGCTTGGATTGCATTACAAATTATTTTAATTTAGCAGGCAGTAAGCAGCATATTTTTGCATGCATAACATCCGCTAAAACACACACGCAAGCACGTGCATGAACGTTGGAGAATAATGCACTTTTGTTTCAGAAAAAAAAAGTTGAAAAAGATTTAAAAATTCCTAGAAAAGGTAATTGCTAATTGAAGATAGAGATAAGAAAAGTGTCTCCGATAAAAATGGAATTAAAAAAAACAATAGCGAATTAAAAGAGATTATGGATGATCACAGCGAGCGAAAGAAATTATTTAGAAAATTATAGTCATTCATAGCGAATAAAAAACAAAGGAATTCCACGATAATAATCATAATTATATTAAAGATAATCATGGACCTTACAAGATTAGAAAACACAAAACAAGCCAAAGAAACATGTAATACCTTAAAATAATCATAGATAACGAAAGAAAATGGTCTCATCTTCCCAAAAACAATCTTAAACTAATCAAAATTAACGAAAATAATTAAGAGAACCCCTCAGCACGTAAGATAATTAATTAAAGATAACGAAAATAAGTAACTTATGACCTTCCCCACCACTAAAAAAAAGAAGAAAACAAACCAAGACAAATAATAAATAATAATAATAATAATAATAATTAATAATAATAATAATAATAATAATAGTAATAATAAGAATAATAATAATAATAATAATAATAAAAAGCTAAATAATAATAATAATAGATAATAATATAATAAATATAATAATAATATAATAATAATAATAATAAAATAAAAAAAAATAATGATGATAATATAAATAGTGATAATAATGATAAATATGATGTAATTAATAATATAATAAAACAACAATAATAATAATAATTAATAATAATATAATAATAATAATAATAATAACAATATAATAATAATAATAATAATAATAATAAATAATAATATAATAATATGATAATAATAATAATAATAATAATAATAATAATAATGATAATGATAATAATAATAATAATAATTAATAATAATAATCATGATATAATATAGAAATAATATGAAATAGATAATAAATATAAAAAAAAATAAGATAATAATAATGATAATAATAATAATAATAATGATAATAAATAATAATAGTAATAATAATAATACAATAAAATATAAATTGATAAAAAAAAAATAAAAATATATAAGAAACCACAATACAAAGAACCTGGCTGGGGGAGTGTCACCCGGGCGTGATTAGAGGTTCAGAACCGTAACTAATGAGGGGTTCATGATGGTCTTTCGCTCACGGATGCTTAATGACGCCCCCCCCCCCCCCCCGCCCTCCTCTTCCCCCTTGCACTCTGTCTTGTATGTCTTCCCTTTCTTCGTTTTTTTCTCTTTAGTGATGTCTCTAACTCTTTCTCGGTTCTCTTCTTTTCTTTTTTTGATTTTTTTTTCTCTCTCTCTTATCCCCTTTCCCCCCCCTCTCTCTCTACTCTATCTATCTATCTCTCTCTCTCTCTCTCTTTCTCCTCTCTCTCTATCTATCTATCTATCTATCTATCGCATCGTCTCTATCTCTCTCTTCTCTCTCTCTCTCTCTCTCGTCTCTCGTCTCTCTCTCTCTTATCTATCTCTCTCTCTCTCTCTCTCTCTATCTCTCTTCTCTCTCTCGTCTGCTCTCTCTCTCCCTCTCTCTCTTCTCTCTCTCTCTTCTCTCTCTCTCACTCACTCACTCACTCTCTCTCTCTCTCTCTCTCCCTTCTCTTCTCTCTCTCTCTTTCTCTCTCNTATATATATATATATGTATGTATGTATGTATATCTCTGTGTGTGCACACATAGATAGATAGATAGATGGATATTGTGCGTGTATGTGTGAGTCGTGTACATATGTGTGTGTGTGTGCTTGCGTGTATGTGTTTTTGTATGTGTGCGTACGTTTGTTTATGGATAGGTGTTTGTGTGTATGTGTATGTGTTTGTGTGAGCGGGCGTTTGCTTGTGGGTAGATGGGTGGGTGGGTGTATGTGTGTGTTTGCGTGTTTGTGTTTTTGTGTGTGCGTTCATGTGTGTGTGTGTGTGTGTTTGTGTATATGGCGCCATGTTTGCGTATGTTTGCGTCTTAAAATAGCTTTGCGGCCGAGGCAGCAGGGGCAATGAATGGGCATGGCAAGGACCTCTTCAGGGCCTGCAATCGATAGCCGGAGAGCCTTTCCACTCCGGCCGCGGAGCCTCTCCCTCCCTGCGCGCGGCCGCCCGGCGGGGAAGGGAGGCGCCTCGTTGAGTGCGGAGGGTTTTGCCGCGCTGTTTACGGCGTGCCACTGGCCCTGCAGAAACAGAGGTTCACTTGCTGAACCGCTGATCATTCTGTCTGCATTATGGGCTCTAGAAACTCAGGGTCAGTGAACGAGCGCAACCCTTCCACCTCGAGAGTTAGAAAGAAAATATTCATAATAGGAAGAGACTAGAGTAGATTCTGGAGAGTGGCAGCGCACGGGAATGACGGCCAGGGACGCGGGCGGCGGCGCTTCCCAGTTGGTGCTCCGAGCGCGAGCGCCGCCGCCCTCCCTGAGCGGGAAAGGCGCTCACCCTTTGGCTCCCGCAGGAGCTGTGCGACATGGGCTCCTGCGCCACCGACACCTGGTTCATCTCGAAGTGGGGCGAGAGGTGCTCGGAGGAGTGCGGCGACGGCGTCCAGCGGCGCAGAGTGCACTGCTCGGGCGACGCCCTCGACAACCAGGTCACGGAGACGTCCTGCAACCCCGAACAGCGGCCCGCCACCACGAGGGCGTGCACCTCCGACAGGGGCTGCGGAGGAAAGTGGTTCACAGGTGTGTTACCAGCACGATCTCTCTCCGTTGTATCTCTCTGTCTGTTATTTCTTTTTATCTGTTCTCTTTCTTTCTCTCTGTTGTCTATCTCTCTATCTGCTGTCTTTCTTTCTCTCCTTCCCCCTTTCTCTATATTGTCTATCTCTCTATCTGCTGTCTCTTTCTTTCTCTCCTTCTCCCTCCTTTCTCTCTGTTGTCTATCTCTCGATCTGCTGTCTCTTTCTTTCTCTCCTCCCCCCTTTCTCTCTGTTGTCTATCTCTCTATCAGCTGTCTCTTTCTTTCTCTCCTTCCCCCTTTCTCTATATTGGCTATCTCTCTATCTGCTCTTTCTTTCTCTCCTCCCCCCTTTCTCTCTCTCTCTCTCTCCCACCCCCTTCCTCCCTTTCTCTCTCTTTCTCCCTCTCTTCGATATGATTGTCTGCTTCTCAGTCATATATAACTTCCACTGCCTTATTCACCTCCGCCCACAAGCAATGATAAGGGTAAAAGGAAATTGCTAGCTGCCCGCCCTCCCGCCCACAGGTCCCTGGGGAGAGTGCGACTCGGAGTGCGGCCCCGGGCGGCGGGCGCGCTCCGTGGTGTGCGTGGTGTGGGCGCGCGGCCAGTGGCGGATCACCACGGACGTGACGCAGTGCAAGGCCGACCCGCGCCCCGACACGACGCAGGGCTGCACGCGCCCCTGCGGCTCCGAGTGGTACACGTCGGAGTGGTCGCAGGTAGGTGGCGGCCCGAGCCCTTTCTCTTGTTCTGGTTTGTGATGGAAGCGGTGCCTTGGCACCGGTGCCACGTGACAGCCTGACACCCTCTCTCCCGCCAGTGTTCGGCGTCGTGCGGCAGCGGCGTCCAGCGGCGCGAAGTCAAGTGCCTGAGCGAGCGACAGGAGCCGGCCCTCGACTGCACGTCCGCCGCCAAGCCCGACACGCGGCAGCCCTGCAACACGCAGTCGTGCCACCAGGGTGAGTGCACGCGCTCCGACGGGCGCTGTCACACACACATACACACATTTATAATGTTTTGTTTGAATTATTGTCCCATAGCCTCTAATCACTCTGCAGCTCCTGCAGCGCTAACCCCCCTCCCCCTCCCCCAGAGCAAGCCGACGAGAGCAACACCTCGGCGAGCGACGAGGCTCCTCAGGCCTCGGCGGACTCTTCTCCCGGCGAGGACTCTGAGCGGAAATCCTCAGGTAACGTGTCTGTGGCGGCGTCGTGGAGGCATCCTCACGGCGGCGCTGAGGATTCCGCCAGCGATGGCTTCCAGATCCGCAGATCCGACTCAGGTCACAGGGGATCCACTTTGGCTTGGGCCTCGTCGGGGGGTGAGGAGGAGGTGGTGCGTGCGGACCACGAGGAGGAGGAGGAGGAGGAGGAGATTGGTCATGAGGAAGAGGAGGAGGACGAAGATGAGGGGGCAGGGAGGCATTCGGCGGCGGCCTCCGGCGGCAGGCGGCGACGGCCCGGCTCGCCCGTGCGCCCTGGACCAGCGGCGCGACCTGGCGGCTTCCCCCAGCACAGACCTGGACGACCCTGGCGACCCGGTCCGTCCTCAGGTTGGCCGGGGCTGCTGAGCGCTTCCTAACCTTGGCTTTTAACTCAGTCTGTCAGCAGTCCTTCGCTTCCGCTCGGGTGTCTTGACGAAAGCTTGGTTGGCATAGACCGCATTTCCTGGAGGTTTGACACCGCTGGTGGTAAACTTGCACCCAGTCGCGTTGAAAGCTGAAGAAGTTTATGCTTGCTCTTATAATATATAAGTATACAGCTGTCAGGGTAAATGTTGACTAAAGAATCTGAAATCATTTAGACGCATCACTGCCATGCTTGCACACAAAAGTTCATATCAATTCAGGCTCTTTGTTATTATCTCATCATCGTGTGCCCAGACCCCGGGGCACTTTGCATCGTGTCTGTTAAACACCAGTATCGGTGCGCATCTTGGCTTCTGAAATGCTGCATTCATTTTCGGGGAATTGTTCATTGAAGTTCTGCACCGCACCAGTTAGTCTGGGACGTGTGTACTGTCAAGAGATTGGGTAACCATAGAGTTTATAATCCGTAAAAAAGTAATAAATAAAATGTGTAAAAAGATATACGTTCTATCGGGAACGCATGGCGGTTCGGGAGGCATTTCCTGAACGCGGTTAAAGTTCTTGCGTGGTGGGTGCTGCGGACAGAAATTCAAAGCGGAATTCAGCACTGCCTTCAGTCACGAAATCAAATTTAGGGGGAAATCTTTGCCATGTTTAAGTCGTTCTTTCGTTCACAGATCACGGTTTTCTG